CTTTCGCCTGAGTCATAGTGACTTTTTTAGTTAGTAAAAAAAAAGAATGTTGAAAAAGAAACAATAATTAAGATAAGGTTCTTGTTTGAAGATGCGTATTTAAAGCATCCAGACGTGATGTGTGTTACATGAAATATCCTTAATCCTGCAGGAACATTTACTATCAAATTTAAATCGCTGCAGTCAGTCAGCATCTTTTCATTATCTTTTTTTTCGTTAGGAGAGGAACATTTTTTGATAATGGTACTAGGTCGTAATCCTTTTCTATCAAAAGATGAAACAGTCTGATAGATCTATACTGGAATGTGCAGGAGTAACTGCAGCATTAATAATACAGACAGCGGGAGGCGAAGAATGGTTCTAAGGAATGATTTTTTTTTCTCGAGAGAGGGAAAAGAATCCAAAGTTAAAGCATTTTTAAAGAAGCTTTGAATTTATAGAGTCTTTGAAAAGATGTATGTAAGAATTTTGTGAGAATAAAGTTGAATTTCAGAAAAATTTTCAATTTCGGTAATCGTTTATGAGATTATTATTATTTTAATTTGGGATAAAGTCAAAAGGCCATCGAACTTCTTAATATGACGCAAAGGTTCTAGGTAAATCATAAAATTTTTCAATTAAACAATTGAAGAAAAAAAATGATTTAATGCCATTAATCATGCAACGATAAGGTGCTTGCTGCAAAAATACAATTCTAATTGAGAGTACTTTTTAAACAATATTTTTGCCAAGACGTGTTATTGAGAAATTCTGCAAAATTTCAAAGGAATGTTAGACGATATCGAAGAGCATCACCAATTGAAGTTAATCTTTCTGATTTTTTTTTTAACAGCCTGTCTCTGAGAAAAGCATGCAAAATCTGAAAAATTGTCCTAAAGGGTGTATAGAGCTTTTCATTTTGTCATATATTTTTAAGATCTGGGTTGTATCAGAATATAAAAAATAGATCTTAAAAGTGTGTCACGTGCTTCTATTTTTAGTAACAACCCAGTTTCTATATTTAGCAATAATTGGCATTATATAGAAGGTAAAAATAGGTAAGTTTGAGGCCTGATAAAGTTACTGCAAAATTATTTTCAAAACAGTATTTTATTATTTCATCAATACATAGATGTCAAAAATTACAAATACCTATTTTTCATAATGATAACGACTATCTGCCGTCTATACTAAAGCCATATGCAAGGCGAAATTTGGAACTTCAGAATAATTATGGATATTTAGGACAGTGGTACAGTGATGGGGGATAAAATAATTTGATAAAATAAAGTTTTTTATAATAATTGATTAATGTTCTATCAAATATAAAAAATTCACCCTTGGCTATTTAGTGCAGATATATTTTATAAATTGTTGAAATGATGACCTAAGCATGTTAGCAAAGCTCTCATTTTGTATCATAGAATTAATCAAATACTATTAATATGGGTTCATTTGATGACCAATCAACATATTTTAGTCTGAATTTATATTTAGAAAGTCTATAAAAATTTAAAAGTTAATAATTTACTTAAAATTACTTAAAAAATGATATAAGAAAATAAGATGACAAGAATGAGTAAGTGTGTATAAGAGTTATCTCCCGTTGTGGAAGTCTTCATGTGAAAAAGGCGGAAATGACATTCCAATGTGTCAGGGTCGCCAAGAGGACAATGCAACTTCGAAGATTTTTGATACATTTCGTGCCTTGTATGTCAAGTATTTTATTTGAATGACTGTATCAAGGATCCATCACACTGTTTGCGCTTCTTTAAATCTCCGACCAACACGCTATAGTATCAAGCTGTATGGAAAACGTTATGGACCGACTGGAGGTTTGAATGTGAAAAGTGGATTTTTTCTCATGACGTCCATATTTAAAGTTTTGAATCTATCCAAGACATACGGATAACTTGGGGGTTAACATGGTTAAAATGGCGAAGAAGAATAACAAATTTCTGCTACCTTGACGTTGACGAGAAACTGCAGGACCTGACCATGTTGACAGGTAGGCCAAATATCTGATCTCTACATCAAGCAATATGAGCTGCATTTTTAAGGATTTTATTTTGCCATAAAAATGATATAACATGTTATAATGTTACATTTGTATTTAAATTAAAATCTTTTTGCTCAGTAAGACTAAAAATAAAATGAAGTATTATTCAAGTGTTTAGAAGAAAGACTTCCGTACAAGCAAATTAGAATTATTTAAGAAATCAATAAAAACAACGACAATGCAATCTTTATCTTGCTTCAATCATAGGCTATAAAAAAGTTCTTTCATCGCAATGCGGCAAATATGAACAACAGAAGATTATAAATATTTTTTATCGGTTTTTGAAATACCCCCGGTAGTTAATATAAAAAAAAATTGGACATCGAAGTTGCAGCTCCTTTTGCTGTCAATATCTACAGTGACCTATATAGAATTTATAATAGAAATTTGAATAATGAATGAAAATGTTCTAACTAGGAACAGTCATGTTTATTGTTTGATATGTCATACATATACGAGGGTTGTCCCAAAATTCCGTAGACAAGCGTTGTTTTGTAGGAACCCTATGTCATACATAATCAAACTTGGTATATAGATTAAACCAACACTATCAAATAAATTTATGGACAAATAAGGAGTAACTACACAAATTTTTCCATTTTAAAAGACACATTTCGTTGTCGGGTGTAGGAAGGCGGCGCAATACCCAAAAGTTGCAATTCAAATTTGGTATTTTATATTTAAAATCCTACGGAAATGTAATTACTACCCTGTATCTTTTGAATGGAAATGAAAATTCTTAATACTGCTTTATTAACTATATTTCCTCAAATTTTGGTAAAAATGCTTTGATAAATGTGAATTTTATAACGATTTATATACATGGGGTTGAAATCCGACTTTTTGAAAAATGGCGGCTGCGTTAGCACAGGCGGCGCACTGGACTATGATCAAGTGTTTAGATCCTGAATTCACTCTTACAGAAATGTACCAGTCATAATTATTTGGTAGACTAGGAAACTTTTTCTTGTTCCTTAGTACTTAAAATGACTAAAACGGCTTCTCTTTTTAAATACATGTAACAGTAACTAAAATAAAAGACAGGGTTAAGAAATGGGCAAGAATTCCATTGTACAACTCCATCAGAGAAAACAGACGAAAAGCCCGTAGAAATGTAGCGTTTTCAAATTATTATTATTTCATACCTGTACTTGCATATACTTTGTTTACATATTTTAATGTTTGATCATATCATAGTTATTTAGATATTTCACATTTATAACTAAGTTAAGTTAAGTTAAGAATTTGATTCTGGTAATTGAAATATTTTCTCCAAAAATTTGAACCGTTAATTGACATTTGTATTTTTTGACATTGCAGATTGCTCCGGGTGTTAGAGAACGATATCACTTTATATGTTATTACTCGAAAAGTGTTCAAGTAAACATGATCAAACTTCGTAATCTATCTGCCAAGAACACGCTTTATCTACCCTGAAAATTTTATAAAGATACATTAATTTCTTTAAAAGATATGAGCTCAGTCTACGAAATTTTGGGACAACCCTCGTATATTTGTGTAAAGAAATTAAGAAAGTTCAAACAGTTGTGAGGAGATGCCTGATGGAGTAAAAATCATAACTTCTCTAATTAAAAAAATATTCAACATTCAACTGCACATATGCTTTGATTTGCATACATGTTTAATTTATACTTTTTGAATTGCGGCATTGTGCAAGTAGTGAAATAGTGTGCTACTCAAAACAAGTCTAAACTAAAGAGTATATATATAAAAGTGCCAGGTATTCAAAGAAGGAACTCATTGAAAGGGTTTTTTATCCAAATATTATCACACATATTTTTCTATCATATTTACTTTAACAATTAACATGATTAATGTATTCAAAATGAATACAGATTTTTGCATAATGATATTTTAAAAAAGGTAATGGGTCATGATAATATGAACTCATAACAGAAAGTTTATACAGAACATTTAAGCTTGCACAATAGTCAATAATGAATATATGATACTTAATTAGTATACCATGTGTGGGAGAGGTCCAAATTATTCAAATTGCATAACAAACCTAGGTAAAGTTATAAATAATTTAATATTGATTAACTTTCACTTTTTGTAGCAATATTTGTCAACATGCAGAGGAGTTTTTTTGGACCCCAATACATTAAAAGACAAGTGTCCTGATCCAGATATTAATGGTAAGAATTGTTGTTTGAAAAAAAATATTTCAAAAGTCTTATATGAAAAAAAAACAAGTATATAGTCAAATGCTCTTTAATAGAGCTATTCAGGATGTTCAGTGACACAGTTTTGTCATAATGATAAAACCAGTGATTTCTTACTTTGCTGATTTTTGCTATTCTCTTGATCAGCATTAATTTAATTATCTGTAGATCAAGTCTAAGTGTAAATGTGAATGATTTACCCTTAAACTTCAATTTTTTACTTTTTTCCAAATGAAATAATTTTTTTTTTGTAGATCAAAAGTTGACAATTTATTAATGGGATATAAAACAAAATGCTTTCAATCAATCAAAAGTTGACAACTGCTTTAAGAAAAAAAAATTATTTTATAGGATATGAAATTTTGTTAATATTTCATTGTCACATGTTAAAACTTTTAATGAAATATTAGGAGATAACGAACAGTATATTCCAGCTCAAAAGTCCAACAATACAAAATTTGTGTAGAGCAAACAATTGGACCTCCAAAAAATGATAGATGGTATCATGTAATTTTTTTTTTCTTTTTTCTTCCTGGGGAATTTATGTCACAATGTCACATCTAGCTTTGGTCAGCTTTTTGACATTCTTCTACAATTTTTAGACAGTATAGACAGAAACCAGGTACTTTCACTTTTTTGTCAGAAAATTTGAAGTAGAAAGTGGTGCACATAAATACACTTGCACCAGTTTTACCTGCCAGCTTATATCATATTTTTTAATAAAATATATGTTTTTTACATACATGGTATCACAATTTTTTTCAACCTTGATCTCTCCAATGACATTTATTTCATTTTTCAAGATAAATCTTTATAATAAAATTAGATATAATGGTAAAAGCAATTTGACTATGTCCTTTTTTTTTTACCTTGAGTGTTCTAATAAATGTTTCTCTTTTGACCTTCAATTATGAATTTTGTAATTATAAACTTAATATTTTTAAAATCAGTATTGGTGACAGCAATCAGTTTGCCATTATTCTCTTACTTAGACCTTTCCAATGACCTAGATTCACTTTTCCTCCATTTAGCAGTCACTTATGCATGTACAAAAAATTATTCTTTCTGTCTTCATATTTTACTGATATATACTCAAAGAAGGAGGACACATTTCTTTTTATTTCATGGTGAATTTTGTTTTATAGGTATTAAATGCAGTTTTTCCAAGAAAGCAAAACAATGGAGCAGAACTGAAGTGTTATTTCAATAGAACCATGATCTGATTGATCAAGTGAAAGATGATACCAGTTGTGAACGTTGTCGAAACACTACAGCAAGCAAAGAGAGTAGTAATCATCAATACATGTATTACTCCTGTTAATATTCATCAGAGCAAAAAGAATTTTCAATATTGAAATTTGAAAAATATTTAAATTTGCAGTTGAAAAACTCACTTATTTTACAAATTCAATATCAAGTAAGAGCATCACAGCAAAGTGTCCTACAAGGAACAGGCATTGGACGTGGAGTTCAATAAGAGCCTACAGGAAAATGTATTGGTTGGGCTTTAAAATCCAGAAAATGATTCTCCCAGAAAGTGAACAATTACTTGTCTATGATACGTGAAGAATGTTAGAGAGCAGTAATTTGTCCAGATTGTGTTAAGCCACTGTTTTATGGCAGAAGAAGAAAGTAATGAATGAAAATGATATAATTTTATAAACAAAATAAATGGCTAAGTAGCTGAAAAAAAGGAGGATATATTGTGTCACGTTCATCCAATAAAAAATTCAAGTAATTCCACCTTCCCCCTGTAAAAAGAACTTATCTGAAATATCTCAATGTTTGTATCGATGATGTTGAAAATTTGCAGATATTGTTTCTATACTTACACTGTACATGTAACACTCCAATGAATATGTTGATCAAATGACTATAGTATGATGAATAATGTGTTCACTTGGTTCACTTGTGTAAATATTGAGCAATTATGTATATATTCATTAAATGTAAATAAAGGTTTATACTTATTAATAAGTTTATCCATTTAGTGGTTTATTTAAGAAATTACTGTCTAGTTAGACTAGTTAGCATAGTATGCCATGGCATCAACACTAACATGGGATAATTTGCATAACGGGCAAAGCCCGTTATGCGTAAATTATCCTATGTTTCCCACTAGTGTTGATGTCCCTGGCATACTATACTAATTAGACAGTGATTCCATATGTGAAATAAAATTGTAGATTTAGACTTTAAACAAGAGGCCCATGGGCCACATTGCTCACCTGAGCACTAAGGGTAGGAAAAAGAAGAAAATGGCTTTTTATTGTAAAGTTTAAATCTAAAAGTAGTCCCATGACCAATCATGGATTTGCTATTTTTTAGAAAATGATTTTTAAAGAATTTTCCTAAATATTTCTATGTAAAACTTTGGTTGGCCATTTTGGCCCCACCTTACCCCCGAGGGTCATGATTTGAACAAACTTGAATCTACACTACCTGAGGATGTTTCCCCATAAGTTTCATCTTTCCTGGCACAGCGGTTCTTGAGAAGAAGATTTTTAAAATATGCCACCAAATTTTAATTAATTCCCAATTATCTCCCCTTGAATGAGGGCGTGGCCCTTCATTTGAACAAACTTGAATCCCCTTCATCCAAGAATACTTTGTGGCAAGTTTGGTTGAAATTGGCCCAGCGGTTCTTGAGTAGAAGTCGAAAATGTGAAAAGTTTACAGACAGACAGACGGGCAGACAGCTAGACAGACAGATGCCGGACAAAATGTGATCAATAAAGCTCACTTGAGCCTTCGGCTCAGGTGAGCTAAAATGTAGACATAGATTTAAATTATACAAGGACTCCCATGCCAATTTAAACATTCCTCGCCCACTGTTTAAAAAAAAAACAAAGGCAGCCACACGAGATTTACATGCATATTTGGCCTCTTTAGCCCCCTGCCCCCTCCTCTTTTTCTATGTATTTTTTTATTTAAAGTCATTAAGTATTAGATTGAGAGATATGTTTGTTTAAATTCTGTATTACAGATAGGAAGAACTATTGAAATTAACTTTTTTTTAAGTTTTGGACATGTTTTGAGCTATTTTTTGAGTATTTTTAACTGTATCCTTGAATTTTTTATGTGAAAATTTCACAAACTTTGACTTTCAATATTTTCTAAAGTGTACATTGGCCAAGGGCAATTTTTATATATTTTGTTCACATAGGCATTCTTAACAATAAGCAATAAAAATTACTGGATTAAAACATCCCCCCTTTTTACAAGAATAGTTTCAATTCCACTAAAAATTGTCACTTTTTCCAAATTTTGGAACAGTGCCAATTTCATGACCTATTTGCACTAAAACAAAATGAATGTCAGACATTCTGACTATGCATTTATGAAGAACTAATCTTTATTCTTTTACAACAAAACAGAATATTTGAATAATTTTTAAAGTTGCAATTTTTTTTCTCCTCAAAAATGTCTGAAATGTTAAAAAATTACCTAGTAAAATTTTGTTGCATAAGAGCTATTTTTAGTAACAGGCCATAAAACGTTTGTGGGTTGGATTAGCTCAGTGAAAATTTGTCTGATTTCATTTTATGCATAGTAGATTTGGCTCATAAAATTTGAAGGCAATCGGAGAAACCTGCTTTCGGACTAATTTGCATGCTTTTCTCGGAGACTGGCTGTTAAGAAGAGCCAAAACGCAGGTTCAAGACATCATGATTTGCCTTCAGGTAAAATATTTACAAAAACACTTCTCTTGCTTCTGAAATCAGCACATCAAAGAAAAACAAAGTGATCTGGCATCGAACACCAAAAAAAATCTCCCATGTAATACAAGAGAACATCAACTTCTAATTAACCCAAATGATAATGACACGTGTAACTAATATTTAGTTGTCCACTATATCAACCACTGTGTATTAGCGTATCAAGTTTCGCCTACTGCATATCAATTAAGTTTTAAGGTGCGCTGAAGTCTTGCGCCGAACGTTGCCCCCTCTCAACGCAATATGAAAGTAAAAATTAACTTACCTCTATAAACTAGGAAGACGAATAGGAACGGGAGGTCTTGATAGAGAAACTGTAATAGCCGAGATATATTTCCCTATCAGAAAACTGTTAATTGACAATTACACCAGACGGATTCTGTCAGTCACTCTTCATCACTGGAAATCAGTGCGCTATTGCTGCACGTGCATACCTATATAAGGATAAGTCGTCTGCTATACTCACCCTCTGTACCACGAGCTCTTGATTTAAATCTCGGCCTCCTTGAAGTCGAAAACCCCAAGGGGTTTCGAACGAGTCCCTAAAAAGCCGGACCAGCATCGCTTTAACCTAGTCGATTTCAAGTTGCCATCCTGTAAAAATATAAGTTTTTATTTATCATCAGATCAGTTTTCACCTTCAAACCGAAACCGAGGCGGCAAGATGGATCTTGGAATGCGACTTATGCCAATAGAATGCAAGGAAAAGTTGTAAATACACCTATCCGCAAAATCAACAGTACCTACGTATATGTTTGCCAAGAAGATGGGAGAAATTGTGTGTATGTGTTGGATTACATGCAACACTGATGTTTATTACGCAGAACATAATGCTCTCTTCTGTAACAATATAACGGATACTGAGATGTTGTACCTGATATAGCACGTGTCAAAAAGTGATAATTCACATCAAACGGCACACACAAGGGCCTTACCCTTTACTCTCTGTTATGCAAAAGATAAGCGATCTTTAAGAGAACAGGTTTCACGGAAAAATGAATGGTTGCTTAACCATTAAAATAGATGCACAATTTGCAATTTTACATTGTGCAATTACAATTTTTAAACTAAAGTAGAATGCATGGTTTGGTGTTAAATTGTACTGAACATCATTTAATAAACTAGAAGCAAGTTTTTCATAATACAACATTCAATATTTAACGAGCTTTACAATGTAAGTGATATTTTTACTGATTATTCGTTAATTAACTTGCTGGAAATATAACTTGCTGAAAAGTATTTATCAAATGGAATCCATTCATAGAAAACATATTTGCACAAAACAAATTGCAAAAATGGTATCAAAATGGTGTCTTCTAAGGTCCTAAACATTGATTTATCTTAATTTTCTGGACATTTTTTCTGGCAAAATTATTGGGATTGAAAAGCAACAGAAAAAGGGGTTGTTATTATAAGTATCAAACAGTGTACAGACCTGACTTTGTCCGCGCGCCACTGTCCCGGCTTCTGCTAGTCCCTTCACAACTGAAGCCAATTACTTTAGGCACACGCCATTCCTAATTATCAGTTACCTAGATTTCCGTGGTAAGATTGAGGAGGGTTACACAATGTCTAATGGGGGGAATGCTTTGCCAGGTTCGGGACCTGCTATTTGCCATTCAGCAAGTAGTTGGAATGGGGTGTGTGTATGTATATATTGGTTTAGGGTTATAAGTAAAACATATGCTGTCCAAACACTCGCCGAGATTTTTGAGCAACACGGTGATCAAAGTATTCTGCGGCTTATTACTTGATTGATCTTATCGCTCAGTGGCAGATGGCAAGCTGGGGAAAATGTGCTCACAAGTTTGTCATAATCCAATATAGTATAGCTGAAAAATTGTGGCTCTCCGAAAATACTGAAAGACTGTAGTCGTCCATCCCATTTTTTTTTCCAGACCAGTGAGCTACAGATCTGCAGCCAAATCCAATTAAAGGAAAGAAGACTGATAAAATAAGAAAAGTATTTGAAATGATCACCTACAAAAGTAAAATTGAGCTATACATGTACTTATACGTTAGGATGTAATGTTACTCAAGTTTAAAATAAAAGTTTCTCTTAATTTTATAGAGTTGGTTTATTGGTTCAATATAAATGTGCACTTTATAATTTACAAACATGTTGCACTGTAACTATGTACATGTTGATTTTCATTCATACAGATGCAGCACTTACCAATAGCATTTGCAGCATAACCAAAACAAACTCGACGTAAAAAAATATGTTTCCATATGTTCTAGTGACGTGCTACAAACCAAATTGCTTGAATTTATAGGAACACATATGTACCTGTATATTTTGATATACTATGTATAAATTTGTTATTGAATCAGGACACGATTTATATTGGATTAATTAGTAGTTGATGCTGAATTCTTTGAATAATTAATTAACAGAGGGTGTCGCATGCGAATCTTACACATTCATCTGTTCATTTGCACGTTTATAACAATAAAGTTGGTTTTTAAGGCCAAACCTCACTAAGGTAAGTGAAACTTTAATTTAATGTTTACATGTACAAGAGCATACAAGCAAATTCAAAGAATTGTGGTTACCCGCTTTCGGTGTCTTTGTGGATGAGATGTCAGTATTTATGGCATACCGGTACATATATTGTGTAAAATATGAACGCCATAGTATGGGCGGCGGAAAGGGTAAAAAAGACGTTTATGCAAAACTAACAACTAACTTTATAAACATAATGAAATACAAAACAGACAACCTTAAAAACAAAATCAACAGACTCGTTTGCAAAATCAACAGACTCCGATGCGAAACCAACGATCACCAATGCAAAACCAACGATTATTCACTGAATTGTCGCTAGATGGCGTGCAAAAAAATCATATATTACCTGAATTAACGCTAGATGGCGCGCAAGTTTTTCTACGTAATCATTACTTTTGCACATTCATGGGAAG